ATTTGGGAACAAAGAAATATGGGAATTGTAAAAAAAATGGGAAAAATTGCTTAATTAGACACAGAGATAATGGGTGATTAATATTTAGAAAGGGGATTCTGCAAGGTATTGGGGGGGTAATATAAATAAATTTATAGTCATGATAGGGACATATAGATTGATAAGATGGAAAACAGAATTGTTTTTTGTTTTTTTTGTGATGGAATCTAATGTTCTTCTTTATGCATAGAGTTAATTGTAACAAATAATGGAATAAGCTTTTTAAATATATTGAAATATTTTTAGGATTGGAATGTTGGCTTTCTTTTTGGTTTAAATATGAATAGAATAATTAATGGAATATGTGTATTAAATATACTGAAATAAATGAAATGATATAGGAGAGCTGAAATGGAATTAACCTTAGGGTTTAGGATTGTTTTACTGTTTCAATGAGTAGAATAATATGTCCTTCTCTTTTGAAAAAATTAATGAAGTTAAAAAGGGGAAAAACCATGCAGAATCTGATTTATATATGCTATGTAGTTTTAAAGGGATTATGAAGTTTAATGGTTTAGGTAATAATGTTAAATATTTAATGGGATTTAAAAGGGGTGAAAATTAATGAATATGTAACTTAGAGGTGGCGCACTTACATTGATATTTCAGGGGGAAAACCAATTTATAGAAGAAGTGTTTTTTTTAATTAGAATTTAAGATGAAATATACAAATGTGACAGTTAAAAGTACTAAAGTATAATGATTATGAAGTTAATGTAAGTGAATTAAATAATGAGATAAGTATTTGGAATAATACAATAAAATGCAAAATGTATAAATGCATTGCTGAGATAAGAAACTGGATACAAAAATTGAATATGTAACTATAGCCATATTTGTATGTATGTGAAACCTGTAATCATGCTGTTCACTAAAAAGAGATGTTAAAATGTGGAAAACTGAATAAAACTTGTTTAAATTTTTTTTTTTTACTACCGGTTCTGTGGGCGTGGCTTGGGGGCGTGGTGTGGCTTGGTGGGCATGGCAGGGGAAGGATACTGTAAAATCTCCATTCCCTCCCCACTCCTGGGGGAAGGTTACTGCAAAATCCCATTCCCTCCGCACCCCACTAACCTGCTTTTCAGCTCCTTTCTCCTGTGCAGGGCAACAAAAGAAGACCCAGCCGATCAGCTGGGACTCAGGAAGAAGAGAATAGATGGGGCGGGGCCAGTCAGAGGTGGTATTTTCCGGGTCTCCGAACTACTCAAAATTTCCGCTACCGGTTCTCCAAAACTGGTCAGAACCTGCTGAATAGCACTTCTGTATTGCAAGATGCTATGGAAAGAGAGAGCTTGGGTTTACCAGACTTGAAACTATATTTCAATGCATGCTGTCTGGCTTGGTTAAGAGTGGGTGAAACGCCAGAACAAGAGGTTACTTGAATCTTTTTCTAGAAAAGAAATGGTGGCAAAGCCAGACTGGTGGACGTATGGTAAAATACTATATTTCAATTCTGGTGACCCCTACACTAAAGTAAAGGGAAGAACTTGAATCAGAAGGTTATGTTTGCCATTGGTTTACATATGAACAACTGAAAGAAAGTGTCATGCTACTGTTGGAGTCTGAATCCGAGGAGGAAGATGAACAGCTGACAGGGAGTGGGAGTGTGGCTTCGTTGGCTGTGGAGGAAACTGGGGAAGAGCAAAATCCGGCTGGGCAGAGCAGGAAGAGGTAGAACAAGGGAGAGGGACTTCAGAGGAAGACCCAGGCCCACCCCCTCTTTATCCTAGGGCATGCAGGGAGGAATGGAGAAGAGAGCAATGTGGGTTGTGTGGCTTACGGGGAAGGAAAGGGCCCTGATTCCCTTCATTAGGCACACCTGGGAAGAAAATTTAAAAGAGATGCAAGCTGAGAGCGGCGTTTTCTGGGAACAAACGTGAGTTTATCTTTTGTTGACTGTGGTTATATGCGTTCCTGGAATCCTCCCAATTGGGTTGATTTACTGTTGTTCCTTCATGTCTGGAATTCCTTCTCTTGCCCTGCTGGATTAATTGTCTTATCTTGCCTTGATTGGACTTAAAGTTTTTGTTGATGTTTTGGACATGAATTTCTGCAGCCAAAGGCTGTGCCTGGGAGAGTTTTTCTCCAGACAAGAAGGTAACCAGGACATTGGGGGCAAAGTTGGAGCTAATAAAGGGACTCCTACTGATTCTCTGACTGTATTGCCTTTGTGCCATGCCCCAGGTCATCACAGAAAGATTTAAACCAGATGAAAAGAGTTATGGGTTTGATTTTGTTAAAAATGAATTTGGAAAGCGAACAGGTAAATTGCATGATTCAGTGGGCAAGGAATTTTGGATATAATGTGATGCTTGAATAATGGGAAAATATGTGGACAAAAGGTTTAAAATTTACAGTAAACTATAATTTAAAAGAAAAATTTTATAACATGATGTATCGCTGGTATTTAACACCAGATAACTTATCTAGAATGTATAAAGGTAATGTATGTTGGAAGTGTAAAAGTAAAGAAGGGACTTTTTATCATTTATGGTGGACATGTGTTAAAGCAAAGAAATTTTGGAGTAAGATTCATATTTTAATACAGAAAATTCTTAAAATGACGATAAAGATGAAACCAGAAAGTTTTCTTTTGGGTATAATGGAAAAAGACTTGAAGGAAAAATTCAGAACTTTCATCTTATATATGTTGACAGAAACAAGACTACTGTACGCCCAAAAATGGAAGGACATTTTGATTCCCACCATGGACAAATGGCTACAGAAGCTGATGAAGTTGGCAGAAATGGCTAAATTGACCATTTTGATTAAAGAAAATAAAAGTACCTTTGTTGCAACATGGAGACTGCTTCTGAACTTTGTGCTTGAGGTGGAAAAAAAATGAAACTTTGATTTGGGGTTTTACTGATTAGACTGATATGTGTATATAGAAATGGCTAGTTTATATTACTATGGAAAAGCAAAAAGTTGTGGTTTGATGTTAATGCTTTATTTTACTGCTACAGAGGGAGTCTGAAGTCAATGTTTTTTTTCTTTTTCCTAGCCCTTCCTCACTTCTCTTTCCCCCCTTTCCCCTCACTGTCTTCCTATTTTCTTTTGTATTTTGTATCTTATTTTATAACCTAATAAAAAATTCAAAAAATGGAAAAAAATAAAACATGCAGATACTGTAGGTCCCAGAAACAGTCCTTTGGCCAAATGACCCGTACCAATCCTGTTGGCTTATGAACGCATCCTCCGCAGGACCAGTGACAGCCCTATGGGGTCCACCTCTCTAGCCAGGGGACAACCGGTCAGGAGCTCCACCAGATCAAGTATACAGTTACTCCAGATCTCTGCCTTGGTCTAAGATTGTCACCCCTCTCGTGGTAGCTAGAATGCAGTTTCCAGCCCAAACTGTAGCAGCTGTTCTTCCTTGGGGCAACAATCTCTCTCTCTTTCCTGAGAAGTCCAGCTTCTTCCTCCCTAGAAGCGTGTTTTTTTTTCTTCACTCCCTTTCAGTCCTTTAAAAACTTTTTTTCTCCGATACGCTTCTCCTGATGCTGCTCTTCCCTTTCTCCCTCTAAGCTGCTGGAACCTATATTCCTATTCCCCAGCACTCTGATTTAACTCCCTCTGCTGGAGACTACATTTCCCAAAAGTCTACTCCAGTGCCGCTTCCTGTTAAAATTCCAGGGGCGAGGCTTCAACCAGCCAGCCAACTAGGGACTCTGCCTGCCTGCCCTATCTCCTTATCTGCGTCAAATACTGGAGCAGCTCAGGGAGATAAAGAAGTCTTTGTAGCAGTGGTAGGATTTAATTTTTTTCACTACCGGTTCTGTGGGCATGGCTTGGTGGGCATGACAGGGGAAGGATACTGTAAAATCTCCAGTCAGAGGTGGTATTTGCCGGTTCTCCGAACTACTCAAAATTTCCACTACTGGTTCTCCAGAACTGGTGAGAACCTGCTGAATACCACCTCTGCTTTGTAGGGGTTATAAAATGAAAGAAGAAAAGAGTTGCTAATGGAGCAGGCTACATTAGACTATTAAACATATACACCAATTCACATTTAAACCCTGAATTACATAAGAAAAATATTGATTAAAAAATGTTGAGCTTAAGCAAATTTATACAGAAGGAATTCCATAATACTTTGGGAGCTATCACCAAAACAAGTAAAACCAATTGGCATTTTATCTATATTATTTGCAATATACTATAGCAGTGATGGCTAACCTTTTCGGCACCAAGTGCCCAAAGCACACGTGTATGCACGCACCCCCAAAATGCAACACGCACAACCCCCGTGCAGGCACGCATGACCCCCATGCGCGCCCCACCCCCCGTGCATGCACGGCAGAGACCTGAAGACCAGCTGGTCAGCGGGAGGCGTGTGCGCGCATGCGTGGCACAGCTGAGCTGGGCCAATGGCTCATGTGCCCAGAGAGAGGGCTCTACATGCCACCTCTGGCACGCATGCCATAGGTTTGCCATCATGGTACTATAGCATTGGCAATAAACATCGCAGAAGCCTATACTATATGTACACTGTATGAAAAGTAATGGAAGAAATGTAAAACAATCCATCTTTAAAACAATATTCTTTTAGGAGTGAAACAACAGACAGCTGCTGAAACTCACTAATGCTCCTTTCTTCCATCTCAGATCAATCAAAAAACCTAAACCTGGCATACTAGCAAATATTAGGAACAAGTTATATCTCTCCTGTCTTTCTTTGTAAGAGAAAGATAATGAACAAATATTCAATAAACATTTGCTAAAATCCAGCTGTATGTCTGAAGTTCCAGAACTTTCTAAGAACAGAGATTTTTAAGTTAGTTTGAAAATAATATTTCCTAATTACAGCCATTTGTAAGAGAATGTAAGATGATAAAAGTATACCATATCTCAATCAGAATTCAAAGGCTTGGAAGCCAACTTCTTGAAAAGTGTACCAAAATTAGCAGCATCAACAGATCTTTATTATATACATCTAACTATGAATTGTCTTTACTTACATAAGTTCATGCAATTTCCTGCTTTTTTCCTGATCCACAGTTTTCAGCTTATCATATTCAATTCTGAGCCGTTCCTGCTCTAACATCATCTTCTGATTTTGACTGAACACAGAAACAAAATTTGAGGTGAACAAGGATTAATATTTCCTTATTTTATGACATATTAAATTCATCACCAACTTATATATCTCAAAACCATCAACCATACAGGGTCTAATAGTTATCTTGGAACCAACTGATAACCAATTTAGTCCTCAGCACCTTTGAACTACCAGATAAACTTAGTCAATTTTGAATAAAAATCCTTTATAAGTAAATCAGGAATGTGGGAGTTCATACCCATTCTAACCTATGAAGTTTCAATCAAGCCCCTATACCCCCAAGACTCCTCCCTGTTAACTGCAGCAAGATCTGTACCTCAAATCCTGAATTTTCAAACAAGGTCCTGACTTGTTTCTTAGCCAAAAGACGCAAGTGGCATAAATCAAGTACAACCACTTTTGAAGTCACTCAAAGATCCAGCAAGGGTAACTGAGGAAAATGCAGGCTGGCAAGGCAGGAAGGGCACTGAAGTGGGATGGTTAAGTTTGGAAAAACCACGCCTGAACACTCTCCTCCACAATGTCTTATGTCCTTTCCAGTGGGGCAGGATAACACAGAGAACACTGATCTTCTCCCTTCACAAAATGGCTTCAGCCAATTAATTTGTTGTGTGCTTACTCCCATAACAAAAAGCATGGGGAAGATTAACTCATTAGATGCTGTTTCACACTTTCCCTGACTGGGAAACTGTACAGCAGCTCCTGCCACTTCATCAGCCATGCTTTCCCCCAACAGAAAAATTCAATCCACTCTGCAGGGTGAGATGAGAAGTGATGGTTCCTGCTTCTTCTTGCATTTTAACAATTGTTCTCCATGCTGGTGGATACAGAGTATTTGCTATCATCAACTACAGAGGAACTATGTTCTTTAACCAGCCCCAAATCTTTCAACCAGTTCAGGTGAAAAGATGGAGTAGATCTAGTCCTGGAACCAGATCTCTTTCCATTACCTACACCTGAGAGTAGGTAATATTGCTTCTTTGAACTGGACATTTTTATTTTACTCGTATTGTGGTGTTTTGTTTTGTTTTTGGGGGGGGGGGGGGGGGTGCTGCAAAATTGAAAACAATGAATACAGAAAGGACATTTCTGACCTTGTGAGCACCAACATTTTTATCTACCTCCAACAAAAAGACTGATATTTAAGTATGTAAATGAAAAAAATAATGCACTTAAAATCTATTTCATAAGCAAAAATACATTATTCCCACCTATCCCACTCATTAGGACAAAGCAGTGTGCAAAACTTACTCTTGCAGATCAGTAATTAGTTTTTCTTTTGCCTCAACCTCATCTCTCAAGCTGCTAATCTGCTTCTGATGAGTCTCACGATGACTTTGGATTTGCTGCTCAACTGCTTGCTAAAGAACCAAATGTTCTGGTTATTTTACAGCATAATGACAATCAATGTATTTAGTTAATTCCTTTGAAAGAATTTATTAAAATATAGGTTGACTTGCCTTGACCTCATTTGCAGTCTGAACTTTGTTCAGATGTTCTTTCTCCATTTCATGAACTTTTTCTAGTAAAAGGGGGATTCATCTTTAAAACACATAATCAGACTATATAAAAAGTCTTCTTAATAGTTGCACCTTACATAAATACAGTACTGAACAATCACACTAGCAGGCAACCTAGTAAGCATTTTGTTTCCAGAAAATATCTGATAAATTCATTAATCTGTCTCATAATTTATTCATTTGATTTACATGTAGTCCTTGAATTATGACAGTAATTGGGACCAGTATTTTGGCAAGGCCAGGCACACCTGAGCAGTAGTGGAAGGAAGACACACAGGGTGGCCAGGACAGCTAGGACTTTAAGCAGGGTAATGAAGTGGCTCTGCCAAGTGCTCAAATATTGATCACACAGACCATGGGGGATGCTGTAATGGGTGTACCTTCGGGGACTGGGTGTCCCACTTGGGTGGGGGGTTGGACTAGATGACCTACAAGGCCCCTTCCAACTCTGATTATCTGTATCTGTATCTGTATGTACCATTCATTCAATGCTACTGTAACTTTAAACAGTCACTGAATAGATGGTTTTTAAATTAGGACTACTTGTATATTTTCTTTTCTTTACAAGTTCAAAGCATAATGCTCCCTCCTCCACATTTCCTAATGAAGATAACCCTGTGAGGTGAGCTGGGCTAAGACAGGGATCACCAAGCTTTTGGACCTCAGGGACCACCAAACTCATAATTTTAAATCCTGTGGACCACTAATATGAATTTTGACTGACGGTGGCTTGCTGACGTTTTCCCAAGGTCTCTGCAGAAAGCAGCAGAGACCCTGGGAAAATCCCCCAAAAAGTGTACAGGAAAATTCCCCACCCCGTTTTCCTACCGATCAATCATTCTTTATTTGGGATCGCAGGATACTGTCTCCAGCTCTGTTCTCAGGGGAAGAGAGAGAGAGAGAGACCTTTGGCTGCATGCAAGGAAAGCAGCAAAAGTCTTTCTTTCTCTCCCCCAAACTCCGCCAGAAATGAGTCTTTGCCGGCACAGCCCCTTGGAGCAGGAGGCCTTGCAGGGTCCCCAAAGACTCATTTCTGGCAGAGTTTGGAGGAGAGAAAGAAAGACTTTTGCTGCTTTCCTTGCATGCAGCCAAAAGCAGAAGAAGAAGCGGAAAGAAGCAGCCTGGTGGCCAGGCCAGGCCCGTGGGGCGAGTGGGGCAAGTTCCCCCCCTCCGCCCTTTCCCCCCCTCCCCTCACTACCTCGTGTTGTTCACAATGCAAGCGACACAAGCCTTGTGTTCCTGCGGGCCATGTGGGCGGTTCAGCCTTGTGTTCACGCGTAGCCTGGATTAATTGCTTTGGGGGGTGCTTTGGGGGTGACATTTCTCTGCAGACCACCAAAATTTTCTTGCGGACCACCAGTGGTCCCCGGCCCACTGGTTAGTGACCGCTGGGCTAAGAGACAGCAACTAGAGAATCAGAATCAAGCTGGAAGGGACATTGGAGGTCTTCTAGTCCAGCCCCTGCTCAAGCAGGTGATCCTATACCATTTCAGGCAAGTGACTGTCCAGTCTCTTCTTAAAAGACTCCAGTGATGAAACATCCACACCTGAAGGCAAGCTGTTCCACTAGTTCATTGTCCTCACTGTTAGGAAGTTTCTCCTTAATTCCAGGTTGCTTCTCTCCCTGATTAGTTTTCATCCATTGTTTCTTGTCCTGCCTCCCGGTGCTTTGGAAAATAAATTGACGCCCTCCTCTTTGTGGCAGCCTCTCAAACACTGGAATACTGCTATTATGTCCCCCCCTAGTCCTTCTTTTCTCTAGATTAGCCAAACTGAAATCCTGTAACCGTTCTTCATATGTTTTAATTTCCAGGCCTTTAATCATCTTAGTTGCTCTTTGCACTTTTTCCAAAGTCTCAACAACTTTTATTTTAGCCAGATTTTGCCTAATCTGTACTTGTACCTTTGGTTTTTCCTGCCTAGGTCTAAAACCTTGCTTTTCTCCACATTAAATTTCATTTTGTTGGGTAGGGCCCATTGTTCAATTTGAACTGATTCAAAGTCACCTACAGAGCTTATATAGCCAAGTGAGAACTTGAACCTAAGTCATCCTTGTCTTAATCCAACACCTTAATATCCATATACCCTCTTACATATGTGATTAAAGCATGCTTACTATAAAATACACCACCATTCCTTTATTGCAGAGACCTCTTTCTTACCATAAGTTTGTATCTTCAACTTCTCAGCTCATGAATCATGCTCTTAACCATCTACATAAAAACAATGTGAAGCAATACATACTTTGGGTTCGGAGCTCAACTAGCTCATCATTAAGAGAATCCACAGACTCTTCAAGCTGTCTTTTCTTCTGTTCCACGTTCTGAAGATATTCTGTAAGTGACTTGATCTTGGCTTCATGCTTTCAAGATGAAAACAGGATTGATATTTCAATGAATTACAGAGACATTTATCAGAGGTTTAGAAAACTGAAGGTTTAAACTAAAAATACTAAATATATACATCAGAAGAAGCAAATGCTGAACTATTTCCAGAATACTTAAACACTAAGTTAAAGAATACTTTCTATACCATCTACTGTAGTATGTAAAGCCTAATATGTGCTTTTTCAAATAATTCAGTTTTATCAATCTGTAATGGCCTTACTTTGCTTACTCTATTACTCAGTTATAAGAGTGAATTACCGGGTTTTTTTGCTCCATAAGACACACTTTTTTGTCTTCCAAAAGTGGTTGGAAATGTCTGTGTGTCTTATGGAGCGAATATTGCGGAAGCCCTGCCCACCCGCCGGCCATTTTCAGCCTCTGCACGCCCCATTTTTGGCCCGTTCCAGGTGGCGGGGATCACCACCGCCGCTGCCTATCACTGATGCTGATGATCGGCGAGCAGAAGCAGTAATCCCTGCCGCCTGGAACAGGCTCAAAACGGGGAGCACAGAGGCAGCGATCGGCAATTGGCAGCAATCGGCGATCCCCACCGCCTGGAACAGCTGATTGGCGGTATTCTGGGAGGCAGATCCAACTGCCAATCAGCTGCTCATGCTAAATCAGGCTGCCATAATGTGCTGAAGCTGACCAGGCTGTTTGCTGCAAGGACAGTAGCCAGATGAATACCGGATGGATGCTGGGAGGCAGAGGCATATTTTTTTTCTTGTTTTCCTCCTCTAAAGCTAATGTACGTCTTAGGGTTCAGAGCGTCTTATGGAGCAAAAAATATGGTATATTCAAGAAACACAAAATGATACACCAAGATGTAAAATAACAAAACTTTTACATGTGAGAATTATACCCGAGACAGTCCAAGAATATGGAAGTGTACTGAATTCCTTGAAATCTTTAAATTGCTTCCATTATAAAAACATTTTGCATTATCTGAATGGGGATAATGCATTTTTGTTCTACCTCAAAGGTAGCCTTTCATTAGGATTTTTTAATTAAAAAAAAACAAACAGTTCAGCTGGATTCCTTGCATGGTTTTCTGACAGTGTTGGCAATAGTTAGCATCTGACACAGCTGTTGCATTTGTATATTATAATTACAATTTATTTTTTGCAGTTTAGCTGGAAACCCATAACCTACAGAAGTCAACAATAAGATACACATTTATTACAATTGTACATTAGACACACTGAGAGCTATAACTTAAGCTATAAAATACAAAAATTGCTGAGTTTTTGTAGACTAATCATGTTAAAGTCCAAAACAAATTCAAACTACTATCAAGCTCAATATGAGTTACTAATGTTGAAGCAAATAAAATCCAATATTCATAGCTTAGAAAACATTCTATTTCAAGTATATAGTCACATATTCAGTTACTTTTGTACCAAAAATGACATAATGGGCACATAAAGTATCAGTGGACGTGGAGGAACCCCAAGCATTCAGAAACACTATTTTAAAATATTTTCAAGCCCAGTAAGGACTCAGCGCATTCATTGGCAACAGATACTAACATTCTGTTCTGTACAGGAAGAGAAGATGGGATAGAAAATGAGTGATACCCTCATTAATAACCATTTTAAAATTGTGAGAGAAACAGCCTAATCGTCGTCTTCTGTGCCCTTGCATTATGCTAAAAAAGATATTCAAACTCCCAGGTGGGATGGCCACTGAAGAACATCAGACTGGACAAGGTTATTACCAAGTATTTTACAAACACAACAAAATTAAATTTACCTGTGAAATACAAAGCTGACAGGCTGCTAGCTCATTTTCATTTTCTTCCATTTTCTTCCTCCTTTCTGTTTGCATACTTTCTAACTGCTTACATCGTTTTACCGTAGTCTTTACTTCAGATTTCATTTTACTGATGTACAGTCTTGCAACTGTGAATTCCTCATCTATCATACCAGTTCCTTCTAGCTGCTAAGAAAGAACTAATGTTTTACTCAAAAAGTTTGAAAGTTCATAAAATGATCCAGAAACATATTCAGAGTACACATATTATTTGGCATTAGAGCATTTCTTCCTATTAAAGTATCAACCACGTGCCTTAATCATGAAATTCTATTTTAAATGAGATTGTAGCAAAAATGACATACAAACTATATCAAATCCCATTTGCACATGGCAGATTTGGGGCATTCTGGTTTAACATGAAATGTTTCCATCAATACTAAGTATTTAGTTGCTTTAAACCTGTTTTTATCACCACTACAGCTGATTTCTTATAAACTATGGTTAGTAATAGACTGCTGTATTTTTAAGTTTCTCTTAAAAGACATGCACATGCCTATACTTCTCACAGAAATACTATAATGAGTATTTTTAATGATGAATTAATAATGAAGACAGAAGGCATACAATGACAGGGATATAGGATAGGATAGGATAGGATAGGATAGGAGAGAATAGAATAGAATAGAATAGAATAGAATAGAATAGAATAGAATAGAATAGAATAGAATAGAATAGAATAGAATAGAATAGAATAGAATAGAATAGAATTATTTATTGGCCAAGTGTGATTGGACACACAAGGAATTGGTCTTGGTGGAAATGCTTTCAGTGTACATAAAAGAAAACATACATTCATCAAGAGTCAAGAATCAATCAGGTACAACACTTAATAATAGTCATAGGGTACAATAAGCAATCAAATCATACTAGGAAACAGTCAATATAAATTGTTAGGATACAAGCAACAAAGTTACAGTCATATAGTCACAAGTGGGAGGGGATGGGGGATAAGGAGTGATGAGAAGATTAATAGTAATGCAGACTTTGTAAATAGTTGAACAATGTTGAGGGAATTATTTGTTTAGCAGCGATGGCGTTTGGGAATAAACTGTCCTTGTGTCTATTTGTTCTGGTGTGCAGTGCTCTATGGCGTCATTTTGAGGGTAGGAGTTTAAACAGTTTATGTCCAGGATGTGAGGGATCTGTAAATATTTTCACAGCCGTCTTTTTGACTTGTGTAGTATACAGGTCCTTGATTGAAGGCACGTTGGTAGTAATTGTTTTTTCTGCAGTCCTAATTATCCTCTGAAGTCTGTGTCTATCCTGTTGGGTTGCAGAACCAAACCAGACAGTTATAGAGGTGCAGATGATAGACTCAATAATTCCTCTGTAGAACTGTATCAGCAGCTCCTTGGGCAGTTTGAGCTTTCTGAGTTGGCGCAGAAAGAACATTCTTTGTTGTGCTTTTTTGATGACGTTTTTGATGTTAGGTGTCCATTTTAGGTCTTGTGATATGATAGAACCTAGAAATTTGAAGGTCTCTACTGTTGATAGAATAGAATAAAATAGAATAGGATAGGATAGGATAGGATAGGATAGGATAGGATAGGATAGGATAGGATAGGATAGAATAGAATAGAATAGAATAGAATAACAGAGTTGGAAGGGACCTTGGAGGTCTTCTAGTCCAACCCCCTGCCTAGGCAGGAAACCCTACACCACTTCAGACAAATGGTTATCCAACATCTTTTAAAAAACTTCCACTGTTGGAGCATTCACAACTTCTGGAGGCAAGTTGTTCCGCTGATTAATTTAATTTTTCAGGAAATTTCTCCTCAGTTCTAAGTTGCTTTTCTCCTTGATTAGTTTGTACCCATTGCTGTTAGGAATCTGTCCACCAATTAGTTGGGTTGGCAATATAACCAACAATGTATGTTTGTAGCTTTAAGACAAAATCACTGTATTGATTTATACTATATTCCGATTGGTTGATTATATTGCAAATTACCATAAGAGGGAGCTAGAGATCATAGCTTGCTCTCTCTGACATTCTGTCTCTCTGACATTCTGTCTCTCTGACATTCTGTTGCTATCTAAGGTTCTCTGGTGTATTTATGCTGTGCTTATACTTTGATATTTTTGTTTACTGTAAATGACAAAGGCAACCGGTAAGAAGACTTTGTAATTGGATATTCTTTGGACTGTAAAACATATATGACCTGGACCATTTATTGGACTGTGCTATTTCTTAAAGTAAACTTTAACTCAATTTAGTGCATCTGTGTGTGACTGAATAATTATTTATAACTACTCTCATAAACGTTTCCATGTGCATATCCTTGTTACTCAAGTGTTATTCTGTACGTATCATAACATTTCCTTCTTGTCCTGCCCTCAGGTGCTTTGGAGAATAGTTTGACTCCCTCTTCTTTGTGGCAGCCCCTGAGATATTGGAACACTGCTATCATGTCTCCCCTAGTCCTTCTTTTCATTAGACTGGACATACACAGTTCCTGCAACCGTTCTTCATATGTTTTAGCCTCCAGTCCCCTAATCATCCTTGTTGCTCTTATCTGAACTCTTTTCTAAAGTCTCAACATCTTTTTTACATCGTGGCAACCAAAACTGAATGCAGTATTCCAAATGTGGCCTTACCAAGGCATTATAAAGTGGTATTAACTCTTCACGTGATCTTGATTCTATCCCTCTGTTATGCAGCCAAGAACTGTGTTGGCTTTTTAGCAGCTGCTGCACAGTGCTGGCTCATATTTAAATGGTTGTCCACTAGGACTCCAAGATCCCTCTCACAGTTACTACTATTGAGCAAGGTACCACATGTACCGTACCTGTGCATTTGATTTCTCTTGCCTAAATGTAGAACCTTACTTTTTTCACCGTTGAATTTCATTTTGTTAGATAGCGCCCAATGTTCAAGACTGTCAAGATCCTTCTGTATCTTAAGCCTATCTTCTGGAGTGTTGGCTATTCCTGCCAGCTTGGTGTCGTCTGCAAATTTGATGAGTTCCCCATCTATCTCCTTGTCCAAGTCATTGATGAAGATGTTGAAGAGTACTGGGCCTAAAACAGAGCCTTGGGGTACTTCACTGCATACTTCCCTCCATGTAGATGCAGTTCCATTGAGGACTACACGTTGAGTGCGGTTGGTCAGCCAGTTACGAATCCATCTAGTGGTGATGCTGTCTAACCCACATTTTTCTACTTTATTTAGTAGTAGGTTATGGTCTACTTTATCAAATGCCTTACTGAATAGATAAGATAGATAGATAGATAGATAGATAGATAGATAGATAGATAGATAGATAGA